GGGGAGAAAAAAAAAAAAGGGGGGGGGGGGGGGGGGGGGGGGGGGGGGAGGAAGGGAGAGAGAGTTCACTTTTTTTTTCCTCGAAAATGAAAATACTAAAATATCCTTAATATGAAAAATTGAATGGTGTTAAATTTAGATGACAAATTTTGGATTTTGAAAAATTAAAATGATACGTCTCTTAAATTTTTCTTTAAGGTGACAAATTGAAACTGAAATATAAATTTAAGTGACATTTCTATAGAAATTCCAAACATAAATAAATTGACGTTGAGGAAGAAAGAAAAAGGTGATTGCCTTTTTAATAAGCTACAAAGGAAGAGCAAATCAACCCTCCCCTAGAAATCTTAAGAAACTATCTCTATGAAAAAAAAAACAAAACAAAACAAAAACACCACCTCTGGAACTTAGCTCCAACCACCAGCCCTTTGGGGCTCCTCCCCTTTCTCCCATCCTCTCCTCCCTCTCCTGCCCCTGTCTCTCCCCTCTCTCTTGGGGTTGTTTTACCAATTTTTTTGCTGGATTTTCCTCTTGGTTACGCTGGTGATTTCGTTGATGACTCTTGTGGTTTTGTTGTCCATGAAATCTTTGGTGACAACGAAAGAAGCAAAAAAGAGGAGCTAGTGTCTTTTGTATGTTGGATTATTTATCTTCTATGCAATGAAAATAACATAACTAGGCCCTGTTTAGTGAGCTAGACTGGATGAGATATTTCCAATTAAAATTGACGTGAATAATAATTATTGTTTGGTGGGTTGTAATGTGTTTCACACTGAATATGGGCCTTGAGATCTAAGTCCCAAATAACTATGGTTATGAAACCCAACCCCATATGTGGGTTTACAATGAAACCTCTGTCGTCATCTCTCTCCTTCCCATCCATTCTGCTCCTTCTCTATTCTCCTCTTTTATATTCTCTCTTCTCTCTATATGGGTATATTGTCTCTTCTCTCTCTCTCCCGTATCCTCTACCCAATCTCGCTCTCATCTCTTTCACGACATCATTGAACTTCGCTGGTTCTTCAGTTTGTGAAATGGGTGAAATCGGTTTGGGTTGGTGGGACCAAGGGCTGTGCAGAGATAGAACGGAGCAAGGGTAGTTGGTAATTACTGCCTGAAGAAGAAAGTGGGTCCAATGCTACTCTTTTTGTAGATTTGGAGTTGGGCAAGGAGAGGTTGGAATTTGGAAGTGAGGAAGAAGAAGAAGAAGAGGGGATTTGGGGATAGGAATTTTTGTAGAGAGAGAGAGAGAGAGAGAGAGAGAAAGAGAAGGCTTAAGAGCTCGTTTGCTGAAGAGGAAGGTGTAACGCTCCTATTTCGTAGCTTTATCGGATCAGATTCAGTCTTCGTTTTCTTATTTTATTTTCACATTTCCTTGTGTTTTCTCAGCAACCAAACGGTTTGCATTTCTCTTCCCTGTGTGAAGATTCTCTCGTTTTTCGTCACACGATTTGTTTGACCAATCAAGGGAAGGTTTCATACGCCGATTTGGGGCTTGAGATTTTGCATATGATTATTGTTAATAAATAAAATAAAATAAAATTCTGATTTATTAAAAAAAGAAAAAAGAAAAAAAAAAGAAGAAGTTAATTTCAGTACGTTGTTTGGTGCAAAAATGAACAGGACTGGACTCAAAGCCTACCCAGTCCAAGCCAGTCCAATCCAATACTTTGAAGTCTATCTCAACCAGTCCAGTCCAGCCCACCAAACGGGACCTAAGGAAGGAAAAAAGGAAAAGGAAACGCCCTAATTAAGCAAGAGAAAGTGATGCCGCTACGTAAAAGAACTGTATTTGCTCCAGTATCTCTTTGGCATGTCTTGAGTACTTTGTTCCACTCGTGAAAACAACTCATTGCTAAGGTGTTCACCGATGTGTGCATCGATGAGCACTCCGCCCGCACTCCTACAACTGTTGGCAATGGCTCGACCGACTTCAGCCGCATCATCTGGTTGGTTCACTACAAGGGGGCTTCCTCCATTGAAAATCTCAAGCTTGTTCATGGTGAATGAGCCATCAGCTTCCACTACTTCCTTGAAGTCTTGTAAGCTTGAGGCATACACAGGAAAGTTGAAACTATCGCGTTTCTCACTAGTGATAAGACCTGCAAAAAACAAAATTGATAATTAATCTACACCAACATGAACATATTGTAATATATAACCATGTGTATCGCTCTGATTAGAGAATCTTATGAACACTGATTTTAACTGATCCAAAATGTCCTTGTCCTGTAATATAATATTATGACTATAATTTTGTTTGAAAAAAAAGCTACCCAATTGATCCATGGTCAATAATATGGACCACCCAACAGTCAACAATAGCTATTATTTTGCCGACAAAAATATCATGGACAAATTAATGGAGGGCTTGATCGATTTATGGGGGACCATCCAAGAATTAGCACAACTTAATCATGATCAGTGAAAATTCATAATAAGGTCTTGAATCCAATAACACCTACTCATGCATATCTCTATTTTTTTCCCTTCTTTCTTTTTCGTTTTGTTCTTTTACTTTTTGGTCTGCCAATTGAATCACTAGGGTATAGCTCAGTTGATTGAGCTATTCCGCCTCTACCTATACGCGTAAAGGTTCGAAACCCCAAGCACCCAATCAATATTTATGTGTAAATCCACCTCCCTCCCTCGATCACTTTTACTGAAAAATGAGAAAGCACAAAAATGCGACTTAGCTATATAAAGCTTACATGTATTATTTTGTGACAAAGTATATATCATGATTACCTCTTGGACAAGATCATCCCAAGCACCCTGAATGTGGGTCCCCAAGAGAAGGCCTAAGCCACTTTGTTCAGTGGAGTCCACTGAGGTCCTGCCCAAACAGGCAAGAAACATGGAGCCACCTTTCTTGAGCTCCTTGGCTCTTGACCTGAGAAAGCTTGCCAAGTCTGTCTGGAACTGCTTCTTGTATGCATTGGCTGTGCTCTCATTTGCTCCATGAATGAACACCCTCCCTTTGTTGTAGGCTGCTGATCTCTTGTCTAGCACACTTTCTCGCACCTGGGTCCCACGCAACACATAAAAGAATTATCAATTAATATGAGAGGGCATCTTAAAAGAAATGCTAACGGGACTTCCTCAAAAGTGTCTCTACATAAACTTCTGCCAGATTATAATTTTGGATCAATAACTAATGTTAAGTACGTTTAGTCCTATTTACACAATAAACATGAAGTGACAACAACAAGTAATTAAGTGACTAATTATTAGCTAGTAAGTATCTATCACAACGAATAAGGGATTAATTACCTGTGTGAGCCAACGCAAGGAAAACGCCGAGTGAAAAAGGTCAATGGACCTCGACGGGAAAAGCCACCAGTAGAAGGAGCCGGGGACTCCTGCAGCCAATTAGGAGCAGTGGCTGTCGGCAGCAAGGGCCTCCTCCATGCTGCCGCCGTGGTTGCCCAGAGGAAGGAGGAGCTGGAAGAGGGTGTTGACGTCATTGCCAGGGAGATCAGAGAAAAAGGCTGAGAACTCAGGTGAGTCATATCCCAAGGCATCATAGCGCTTGGTCATGTGCTTGATGATCAAATCTACGGTGTTGATGCTGTTGCTTCCACTTGAGCATCCAAGGTCCGCAACCACAAAAAGGAATTCTGGAGAGCTCGGCTGCACTCTGTCTAGGGTTTCTTTAAGCAGGTGATGCATGGAATTTGCATGTTTGGCCTGAAAAATTAAGGACAAAAGTATTATTGCCACATAAATTAAGCAACTCGAAATTTTGAAAGAACAATTAATATAGTTAATGGACTAAATTACCTGTGCTTTAGAATTGTTAGCATAGCTTAATTCTTCTTTGCCTCCTTTCATGCTAAGTTCTTCTCGAGGTTTATACTTGAAACCGAAACATTGTCTGAATATGATCAATTAATAAGAAGTATTTGAAATAAGATTAATACTGTGGTAAGGGCGAAAGAGAGGGAGGGGTGCTGTTTTTAAGAATTGTGATACTAAATTATGATATAGAACATTTTGGAGTGTTAGGATGCTGATCTTTGGGGCCTCGTTTGTTAGGAAGGACTAGACTAGATTAGCAAAATGCCTACATTTTATGTGCATTCAAAGCATAATATGAATGTCGTTGTCTAACGAGGATTAAAGAGGACTATTTATAAGAGGTTGATGACTAGGCATTTTACTAGTCTAGTCTATTCCTCTCTACCAAATATGTTTGTGTTGTCATTGTGTAAGAACCTGGATTTTCAATATTATTAAATTTTTTCGTATTAATGTTATTATTAAGGTTTATTGTCCTTATACTTCAATGTTCTAGAGATGTTGGTTGTTTCTACTTTAATTTATTTTTGACAATTTACTACACAAACTTAGTATTTGGTGTTTCACATCCGTTGACTTCCGTTTATTCTTTCGTTTGAAAGTTCCAAAGACACCCTAAAATTCGTTTACACACCATTCCAATGTCAATTACATTTTTATCCCTATTATAAGAAGATAATGAAAAACAAAAAAGTAAAATGAATAAAGATAATTTTTTAAAAAAAATTAGTAAAAAATAACTGGTCCCACAAATTATTTTAAAATAACAAAATATATTTTATTTTATTTTAAAGTTATAGAACTTTGAGAAATTGTAAATAAAAAAAATTGTGAAAACACCCAAGGCCTCCGCCGCACTCAGCCTCGAGAAATTATAGAATAGTACAATATCATCACGTTAACTGGTGATACTTCCATTCAAAAATTGCCATGTGTATTATTTTTATAAGAAATTAAACTTTTTGTTCCAGCTGTGTTTGAAACTCTAATTTTACCCTTTAAATTAAAAATATTAAAAGAAATAGAAGAGAAAATGTTCCAGCAACAATCGCTCGCCCTCAATCTCACTGTCTTGTCATCGCGTTGCCTCCCATGGCTGCCGCCCCTATCCTGTTATTTCATTCCTCTGTTTCTGTATTTTTGCAATCATATCACATCCCATCATTGCCTTTCTCTGCAATTGTGCCAAGCGAGCTCCTTTCTTCAACAAACAACACCGTGAAGAAGACCCAAATCCCATTTCAATTTGTTAATCAGGTGCATAGCAATTTGCCCAGTCCTGCAATCATCAAACCCATAGTAGCAAGTCTTTCAATCGTGTTGTATGTGTTAGACATAAAGATATTATTACGAATTTAGTCACTCCATCGGCCCTTCGTTTCTCTTCCTGAAACTGCAATTTTTTTTATGGGGTTGTTTTCATTTTCTTTGTTTTTCTAACAATTTTTTTAATTTTGTTGTGAAGAGTAAAATTGGAGTTGCAAATTATAAAAATAATACACATGACAAATTTTAAATAGAAGTACTATCAGCGTACTATTCTATAATTCTCCTCAACCTCACCCTTGCAGCCCTCACTCATATTCAGTGAAACTATCTAAGTCAAACTCTTCGACAACACACATACCTCTCAACCAACCCTAAACCGAAAAGAGATTAAGGCAAAAAAATAAAAAATGTAGTATTAAGAGAAGAAAGTATACCAGTTTGACAAGTTTTTCTCAAGTCAAACTCATGCATGTTGGAGTATCAAAGACCTAGCTCTAAGAAGCTGTAAAGATCGTGAAATAATCCACTAATTATTAACAGAACATGTTTGGCTTAAATAGCCATTACAACTGAAAAACAAATTAAAACAAACCACGTCTCCAAATACCGAAGACTGTGGCAACTAAATACTTGACCTGATCAACTCCCAACTTAAATGAACTACTAGCTCCTGAAGAATAGGAGCTTATTCAAATCAAAACAAACTTGCATTATCGAAACTCTAACATATCCTCCCCTAAACTACACTAGCTAAAGGCAAGTCAGTTTATAAGCTTCATGCTTTGAACTCCTAGCAGATCACGCAGTTTCACAAAAGACTCTAACTTCAAAGGCTTTGTCATGATGTCTGCTACCTGCTCACTAGTACCACAATGAACTAACTCCACAACACCTTCCTTGACCAGATCACGTAAGAAGTGGAACCTCACATCTATGTGTTCGGTTCTTCCATGGAGAACTGGATTTTTTGATAACTTGATAGTTGAACTATTATCACAAAAAATCTTAACACACTTACATGAAGAGAAACCGAGACTGTTGAGTACTCTTTTCATCCAGATACTGTGGCAAGCACATGCCACAATAGCTACATATTCTGCTTCGGTGGTAGAAAGGGTCACAACTGGTTGCTTTCTTGAGCTGCATGCAACTGCACCACCACTTAGAAGAAACACATATCCAGAAGTGCTTCTTCTATCATCTGTATCACTAGCATAGTCACTGTCGGTATAGGCCTTAAGAACAACTTCAGAAGTTTTCTCATAAATTATTCCCAAATTCTCAGCACCCCTTCCATAAAAAACTCCTAAGTTCACAGACCCTTTCACATACCTGAGACCCCGCTTTGCTGCTGCCATATGAGAGACTTTCGGATCTGCCATGAACTTGCTTAACAGGCAAACAACAAATGCAATGTCTGGTCTAGTGACTGATAAGTACATCAAGCTGCCAATCAGCTGCTTGAACAAGGTTGAATTCACACTAACTTCTCCACTTCTCCACCATCTTTCACCAGTTTCGTGCCTGGCACGATAGGGTTTTTCACGGGATTGCAGCCTTGTAGAGAGCTTTCTTAAGCTTCAAGACTTTATGCTCATCTCCTTTACGAACATAGCCTTCTGGCTGCTCCACGTATACTGCCTCTTTCAATTCCCCAGGAAAAAACGCACTCTTGACATCTAGCTGGAAAACAATCCCCCCTTTCTGCGCAGCTAGAGCCAAGACCAATCTTATGGTGTCCCAACGAGCCACAGGTGCAAAAACCTCGCTGTAATCGATCCCATACCTATGAGCATAACCTTTGACTACCAAACGTGCTTTGCATTTATCTACTTCTCCCTTTTCATTCAACTTTGTTCTAAAAACCCATTTGACACCAATTTTCTTCATCCCTTTCGGCAAACTTACAAGCTCCCATGTCTTATTTTTTTCTATAGCTTCCATTTCCAAATCCATCGCTTTCCTCCATTTCTGTTTTTTCACTGCTTCATCAAAAAATATTGGATCATCATGTACCATAAAACAAGCCAAGTTTGACTCATCAGAAAGACCAGCTCCACTAACATAGTCTTCCATCCATCGAGGTGCTCTCCTAACTCTCTCCTCTGGTGTAGCAGCATCATTTTCTCCTTCCAACTCTTCTGTACCCGAATCAGCTCCTTCTACTTGTTCTTCCTCATCTTCACCTTCTTCTTCTTCTTCCTCATCATAGTCACTGATTTCCCCATCATCACTATCTACCCAAGTAAAGACATCACTCCTCACGTCTTCATCACTCCTCCAATTCCAGCTCTCATTCTCTTCAAACACAACATCCCTACTAACAATCACCCTTTTAGCCGTAGGATCATAAAGCCGATAGGCTTTAGATTCTTCACTAATTCCAAGAAACACGCATTTATGACTCTTCTCATCTAACTTTACTCTACTCTTGTCAGGAATGTGCACGTTAGCAATGCAGCCGAAGACTCTGAAGTACTCGACATTGGGTTTTTTTTTCACTCCAACACTATTCAGGAGTCTTTCCTTTTACTACCACAGTTAGACTCCTATTTAACACATGCAATCCCCATCGAACTGCTTCTGGCCAAAAAAGTTTAGGCATCTCCTTCTTTGAAAGCAAGCATCGAACCATGTTTAATACAGTTCGATTCTTACGTTCTGCCACTCCGTTCTGTTGAGGAGTATAGGCAGCAGTGAGTTGTCTCTTAATGCCATGATCAACACAAAACACGTTGAACTCCTTGGAAGTGAACTCACCTTCCCTATCTGTCCTCAAACAACATATATCACACCCAGACTCTTTTTCAACCAGATTTTTAAATACTTTGAACATAGAAAAAGTTTCACTCTTCTTGGCTAAGAAATAAATCCAAGCTTTTCTACTGAAATCGTCGATAAAGCACAACAAATACCTTTTTAGGCTGCTTGAAGTTGGAGTGATTGGACCACATAAATCGGCATGAACTAACTGAAGTTTCTTTGAAGCCCTCCACTAACTCTTCTTAGGAATGGCTGCTCTATGTTGTTTTCCACGATGACACACTGTGCATGCTTTGTTCGTGGCTTTGAGTTGGGGAAGTCCTTTGACAAGTTGCTTGCTCTCTAAGGCTTTGAGGCTTTTGTTGTTCACATGACCATAACAACGATGCCACAGGTCTAATATGTCATCCGTGCTTGCTATTAGACATTTTGAAGGCTGAATAATCATAGTGGCTAGTAAAGCAAACATCCTATTAGCTGCTATTAGAGTTTGCATAATAAGACCTCTCGTAGGATGATATATTTTACACGCCCTATCTTTCATGACAATAGCAAGTCCTCGCTCTTGAAGTTGACCAATGCTCAATAAATTATTCTTGAGCTCAGGAATGTAAAACACATCTCTTACCACTTGGGTTAAACCTTCGGTCTCAAGCTTAATGCTCCCTTTTCCCATCACAGTCATCCTTGCACCGTTGCCTAACTTTACTGAGTGTCTAAATTGCTCATCCATCTCCATGAACCAATCCTTGCTTCCTGACATGTGGTTAGAACATCCTGAGTCTAGGAACCAAACACCTTCTCTCTTGGCATTCTTGTCCTCAATGTAAGCCATCAGTAGAAGCTTTTCCTCCTCATCCCACTCGGGATAATTGGCACCCTTCTCCTAACTGGGACACTCGTTTTGAAAATGCCCAAGTTTATGACATTTGTAGCATTCAACCGTGGCTTTGTTGAAGGTTTGTCTTCCTCTACCACGTCCACCTCTCCCAGCTCCTCGTTCCCTACCTCTTCCTGTTTTGTCTTCATGGGTGACTTTGAGGACTTGCTCTTCCTCACCTTAACCCTTCATTCTTTGCTCATGCACAAGAAGGCTGCTCTGAAGTTTGTCAATGGTCATTGTAGTCATGTTGTTGACTCCTCAATCGAACATACTACGTAGTTGAACTTAGAAATCATTGATCGAAGGATTTTTTCCGTGATCATTGTTTGACTCATATTCTCTCTATGAGCCGTCATTTTGTTGGCTATGGATAAAACACGAGCAAAGTAAGCATTCACCGATTCTCCATCCTTCATGCGAAGAACTTCAAAATCACAACGTAACGACTGCAGTTATGCCCTTTTAACCCGCGTTGAACCCTGAAACTTTTGCTTCATGGAGTCCCAAATTTCCTTTGAGGAGCTTCTGTCAAGAATGGTCTTAAGCACATCTCGTTCGATTGCTTGATAGAGAAGGTTCTTTGCCTTCAAGTCCTTCAGCTTGTTATCTTCATGCTCCTTCCGTTGAGCATCAGTGGGTTGACTTCCTTCTGCCACCACTGAGGAGAAAGACCGTACTTCCCCTGCGACATTCACCATGACGCCGCGATCTACAACATTCCAATACTCCTTGGAACGAAGCAGATTCTCCATCAGCTCAGCCCAATGATCATAGTGCCCCACAAACTTAGGCACATAGGTGCTGCTTCCTTCTGCCATTTCAAGAGAACTCTCAATCTCTCGTATTCACAGTCAGGCCCTGTTAAGGGCTCTGATACCAATTGTTGGAGTATCAAAGACCTAGCTCTAAGAAGCTGTAAAGATCGTGAAATAATCCACTAATTATTAACAGAACATGTTTGGCTTAAATAGCCATTACAACTGAAAAACAAATTAAAACAAACCACGTCTCCACATCCCAAAGACTGTGGCAACTAAATACTTGACCTGATCAACTCCTAACTTAAATGAACTACTAGCTCCTGAAGAATAGGAGCTTATTCAAATCAAAACAAACTTGCATTACCAAAACTCTAACAACGCCCACTTATTCAAGCTCAAATTCAGGTTCCCAGTTGCAACCAAAGATTAAACCACATCATGCCACAACAAGAAAATTAAAAGAAAACATGAGATTTGGGAAGAAAATAAAAAAGGAAAAGAAACTAACCTGCACTTTGGAAAGGTTGGCATTTGAAGCCATATAGTCATGGTGTCCTTGAGCAGCCATATCAGATGACTTGAAATCGCACTAGCTGCGAGAGATGGTGGTAGAGAGACAAGGTGATGGTGGGTTTGACTGGGAGGTGCGCCTGCTGGTTTGGTTGAAAAAGAAGAAGAAGAGGAAGAGGGATTAAAGAAGGCACTGATCTTTGATTGAATTTTATGAATGCGTCGAATTTGATATGGGGTTGGATCTCATTGCATTACGCCTCAATCATCATTTACTTTGATTTTGAGGAGGTGGGTGGCGGCTTGGGGCTGTGTGGGTCGGGTTGATACGCGAGGGGAGGGGAGAATTTGCTGGGTTTGTTTGTTTTTTTTTTAAATAATTACTTTAAATTGAAGAATTGTTTATTATTTATTTTGCCCACATGGAGTCCATGTCATTAAAATACTGGGCCCATATATTATTTAAATTACAAAAAATTCTTGCCACATCATCAAATTTAACAAAATTTTAAATGGAATTGACAGCATAGGGCAAATTGGATGGAGTTTCAGTGGGCATTGTTGTAATTAAGCCTTTAAAATATGGGTCATCTTCACAACACATCGGCACTTGTTGGAAAGGATTATTTAGTTTAATCTCAAGCTTCAAGCTTTCATTTATTCATTTATTCCCAGATTCAAGCCTTAATTTCTTTAAAGATAATAATATTAATTCTTTGGTTTTGATTAGGTGTTCGGTTTTGATTTGTACCCAATTGGGGCCTAAACTTATTTGGTTCGCGGAATAAACATTTTGGGAATGAAACTCCCATGTTTAATCCCAGAAGATGGGAATGGAAGGTGTTCATTCCCATGTTTGATAACATTGGGAAATACAAACCAGAAAATGTCACTTTCTCTCAATCTCATATTTAGTATGCAATATTAAGAATGGAAAGTTGATTTTTCCGACAATACTCTTTTTTCATTTAAAGTTTCTAATGAAAGGTGGTATTTAAAAAGTAAAATAGGGGTAAGTTAGTTATATAAAAAAATGCATTAAATGTTTTCCCAACGGTATGAAATTCCTCTTAATTGGGAAGTTCATACCCGTTGATCAGAATGCAATTTCATACCAATTCCATGCTCCTAAACTTTGAACCAAACGAGCCATAGTTTTGAGTATTCGACTCTTTCCAATGGGAGATTCAATTTGTTTATTTTGATGATGTATATGGATTAAAATTCATTAGATTAATCTAATGATTAAGATTTTTTTAAATGCCAGACACATATTCTTGTATATATATATATAGTCGTCCCATTCCGTTGAGAGATCCCTCAAATTATTTTATTTAAGGGACATCCTTTAAGGTACCATGCTAATTTTTTTTCAACGATATCCAAACCCTCTATTTTTCAAATCTTCATTCATAGATCATCCTTGCAAAAAATCAAACAAAGTGAAAATCATTAAGGCATCTAA